CTCTTCAATAAAAAGGAACAAACTACTGATATTGCAACATCTCAAAAGCATTATGCAAAGTGAAAGAAGCAAGACACAAAAGGCTATATATATGGTTTGATTCCATTTATATCACATGGAAAAGGCAAAACTATAGGTAAAAATTAGACAAAGGGTTGTAGGTTCTGGGGTTGAAGTAGAGGACTGACTAGAAAGAGGAACAAGGGATTTTTTTGGAATGATGGAAATATTTTATATCTTGACTGTGATGGCAGTTACCTGATATATGTGATAGATGATAGATAGATAGATAGATAGATAGATAGATACATAAATAGATAGATATTTCTCAAAACTCAAAAAATGCATGAGCCTAGAAAACATTTCATGAAAGGACTACTAAAATACATGAGGGAATTAATAGACTTTTTAAAAATTCATCTTTATTTTTTGAAGTATTACAGATGTCCCCTTTTCTTCACCATTCACTCCTTCCACCCCTTTCTTTCCCCCTCCCCAGGCCTTCACCTCACTATTGTTAGTCCATGGGCTATGCATATATGCATATAAGCTCTTTGATTAATCTCTTCCTGCCCCCCACCTTCCCTCTGAAATTCGTTAGTCTTGTTTCATGCTTCAGTGTCTCTGGATCTATTCATCAGTTTATTTTGTTCTTTAGATTCCACATATAAGTGAGATCATGTGATACTTGTCTTTCTCTGACTGTCTTATATCAATACTCTCCAGGTCCCTTTATGCTTAAATATTTTAAAGTTAATACTCTATCATTCTATAAAACAGAGAGAGAGAGTATTATTGAAGGCCATAAAATCATAAAGTACACATTTGATTGGGTATAAATGAGCCAGAGAAACATTCACCAAATCCTGGGTGGACTATTATTACACGTTGAAGCTTGGATAAATAGTTAAAATGAAGAGGAGTCAGTATTACTTAATGTTATGAAATGTAAGCCTGTACCACAGAATAGGTGATTTGGGCAACCTGACTTGAATGTATAGCTTCCCACCTACTAATTAGGTAGTCTCAGTTTCCTCACCTGAAAACATGGGAGTAATCATGCCTTCCGTCCATGACTGTTTTAAAGATGAGAGTTCTGGATACATTTTAGGGACTCAATAAATTGTATATAGATTATCATTCTTAGTGCTAATAATTTTCTGCTGTAGGAAGTAGTCAATTTTGGGAACTTATTACTTCATGTGGTTTGCAAATATGAGAATAAGTGTTTTATACATGGTTGTATAAGGAAGTACTGATGTTCTAGTACCTTCTGACCTTTTAAGATTATTGTAGTGGGAGTGTCTTACTGACTGATCCTCTAGAGCTGTTACTATGCCTTACCTGAGCCCAAGAAAGACAACACTCTGACCCAGAAGGCCTTCCTTTAAAATACACACACACACACACAACACACACACTAAAAATAAGGAAAAGACACACACACAATCATCAACTTATCTTCATAGCTTTCACTTACTGGAGAGAGGAAGGGAGAGGGATAGAGAGTTAGAAACATCGATGAGAGAGAAACATTGATCAGCTGCCTCCTGCACACCTCCCACTGACGATGTGCCCGCAACCAAGGTACTTGCCCTTGACCGGAATGGAACCTGGGACCCCTCAGTCCACAGACTGATGCTCTATCCACTGAGGCAAACCAGTTAGGGCAACCTTCCTTTTTTAAAATTCATTTTTATTGGATTTATTAGGATGACACTGGTTAACAAATATATACAGGTTTCAGGTGCACAGTTCTACAGCACATCACCTGTACATTGTATTGTGTGTTCACCACCCCAAGTCAGGTCTCCTTCCATCACCATTTATCCTCCCTAAACCTTTCCCCACCCTCTGCTCATCAAGCATTACCCTATCCATGAGTTCTACTCTTTTTTTTCTTTTTTGCTCAATCCCCCCACACCCAACCCCAGCCACTCCCGCAACAGCTGTCAGCCTGCTCTCTGGCTCTGAGTATGTCTCTGTTTTGTTTGTTCATTTTGTGTGTTTTTTGTTGTTGTTCTTTTTAAAAAATAATCCTTTATTGTTTGAAAATATTACATATGTCCCCTTTTTCTCCCCATTGACCCACTCCAGCCCGCCCCCGCCCCCCATCCCAGGCCCTCATCCCTCTGAGATTCCACACTCTGTTTTATGCTTCCATGACGCTGGATCCACTCTGTTCATCAGTATATTTTGTTACTTAGATTCCACATCTGAGTGAGACCATGTGATACTTCTCTTTCTCTGACTGACTTATTTCACTCAGCATGATACTCTCCAGATCCCTCCGTGCTGTCTCAAAGGATAAGAGATTCTTCTTTTTTTACTGCTGCATAATATTCCCTGGTATAAATGTATCACAGCTTTTTTATCCACTCATCTACTGATGGGCACTTGGGCTGTTTCCAGATTTTAGCTATTGTAAATTATGATGCTATGAACACAGGGGTACACACATTCTTTCTGATTGATAGTTCAGATTTCTTAGGATATATTCCTAGAAGTGGGGTCACTGGATCAAATGGAAGTTCCATGTTTAATTTTTTGAGGAAACTCCATACCGTTTTCCATAATGGCTGCACCAGTCAACGTTCCTACCAGCAGTGTACTTGGGTTCCCTTTGCTCCACATTCTTGCCAGTACTTACCATTTATTGATTTGTTGATGATAGCAAATGAATAGGTGTGAGGTGATACCTCATTGTCATTTTAATTTGCATCTCTCTAATGATCAGTGACTTGAAGCATTTTTTCATATGTCTCTTGGCCATCTGTATGTCCTCTTTGAGGAAGTGTCTATTTAGGTCCTTTGCCCATTTTTTAATTGGATTGTTTGTCTTTCTTCTGTTAAGTGGTATGAGTTCCTTATATATTTGGGGTATTAACCCTTTATCAGCTCTATCATTGTCAAATATGTTCTCCCATGCAATGGGCTCCCTTTTCGTTTTGTTTATGGTTTCTTTTGCTGTGCAGAAGTTTTTTATTTTGATGTAGTCTCATTTGTTTATTTTCTCCTTAGTTTCCTTTGCCCTAACAGCCATGGGCAAACTACGGCCCGCGGGCCGGATCCAGCCCGTTTGAAATGAATACGGCCCGCGGGCCAGCCCATTTGAAATGAATAAAACTATTGAAAAAAAAGACCGTACCCTTTTATGTAATGATGTTTACTTTGAATTTATATTAGTTCACACAAACACTCCATCCATGGTTTTGTTCCAGCCCTCCGGTCTAGTTTAAGAACCCATTGTGGCCCTCGAGTCAAAAAGTTTGCCCACCCCTGCCTAGGAGATGTATCCATAAACATACTGCCACGAGAGCTGTCTGAGATTTTGCTGCCTATGTTTTCTTCTAGGATTTTTATGGTTTCACAACTTACATTTAAGTCTTTTATCCATTTTGGGTTTATTCTTGTGTATGGTGTAAGTTGGTGGTCTAGTTTCATTTTTTGCATGTATCTGTACAATTTTCCCAGTAACATTTATTGAAGAGACTATCTTGACACCACTATACTAGTACTAATATGCCGTTGCCCTTTGTCAAATATTAATTGAGCATAATGGCTTGGAATGGTTTTGGGGGTCTCTGTTCTGTTCCATTGATCTATATGCCTGTTCTTGTGCCAGTACCAGGCTGTTTTGATTATGCTGGCTTTGTAATAAATCTGGTATTGTAATTTCTCCAACTTTTTTCTTCTTTCTCATGATTGCTATGACTATCCAGGGTCTTTTGGGGTTCCATATAAATGTTTGGAGTATTTGTTCTAGATCTGTGAAATATGCTGTTGGTATTTTAATAGGGATTACATTGAATCTATGGATTGCCTTGGGTAGTATGGACATTTTAATGATGTTGATTTTACCAATCCATGTTAGTACATTTTTTAAAATATATTGTAATGGTTTTTCACAGAGCAGAAGGGAGAGGGATAGAGAGTTAGAAACATCAATGAGAGAGAAACTTCGATCAGCTGCCTCCTGCACACCTCCTACTGGGGATGTGCCCACAACCAAGGTACATGCCCTTGGCTGGAATCGAACCTGGGTGGGACCTTTCAGTCCACAGGCCGATGCTCTACCCACCAAGCCAAACCAGTTAGGGCCATGTTAGTACATTTTGTTCATTAGATTCCACATATGAGTGAAATCACATGGTACTTGTCTTTCTCTGACTGGCTTATTTCACTTAGCGTAATGCTCTCCAGAACCATCCATGCTATTGCAATGGGTAAAATTTCTTTCTTTTTTGCAACTGAGTAGTATTCCATGTATAAATGTACCATAGCTTTTTTATTCCTTCATCTACCAGACACCTGGGCTGCTTCCAAATCTTAGCTACTGTATATAAAGCTGAAATGAACATAAGGATGCATATATTCTTTCAAATTAATGTTTCAGGTGTCTTCAGATAAATTCCTAGAAATGGAATTGGTGGTGTTTCTTCTTATAAGCTCATGTGTGTTTATCAGTAACAGGTTCTGTGGCATTGAGTTTTTAAAATTTATTTTCCAACTTGCCAGCCTTTTGAATCCAAAGTCAACCACCTGCAGTTCCAAGCAGGTGATTTTTGTTTTGTCATTCTCATGTGGAAATTCTCTTTTACTTGGTCTGTGTGAATTCATACATGTTGCATCTCTCCTTCAAGGAGACATAGAGCCTTTGGTTTGCTTAGTTTACCTTAGTGGCAGCTGGCCTGGAGGATGACTGCTCACCTCTGTGAGGTATACCGAGGGTCCCCCAAACAGAATGAGAATGACCATCTCAAACGTGCCCTCCAAGACTTGAAAAATTTCCTGCTTGTTTTTTGTGACATTATAACAAATAGTAGCAGAAACTGTATTTTATTTTCATAGGTTTGGCATAAACTCTTGTACTTTTTCAATTACTTTCCCACACTAATCTAGATGGCAAGCCACACTTAACTGCCCTACAAAACTGATGGCTTAATTGCACCACAATAATTGGGTATTTCTTTGTATCACAAATCCACTGTCTCTTACAGAGAATGAACATCGGTTTAAGGGCCTTCTTGGTCATAGCTGATAGCTTACAGCAGAAAGACGGTGAACCACCCATGCCCGTTACAGGCGCTGTCCTCCCATCAGGAAACACGTTGAGAGTGAAGAAAACATATTTGAGTAAAACACTCACTGAAGAGGAGGCCAAAATGATAGGTGGGTTTCAAAGATGTGTTAGATATGGGACTTATTAAGGCTTTAAATGGATACAAAATATTTACCCTTAGTGATACACTTTGAAAAAATATATGTTTTATTTTCCTCACCTGAGGATATGTTTATTTTTTTATAGAGAGAGGAAGGGAAAGACAGAGGTATATAGAGAAATATCCATCTGGGAGAGAAACATCCATGGTTTCCTCCTGTATGTGCCCTGACCAGGAATCAAACTCTCAGCCTAGGTATGTTCCCTGACCAGGCGTGGAACCCACAACCTTTTGGTGCATGGGAGGATGCTCCAACCACCTGAGCCATCTGGCCAGGGCAAAAAAAATCTTTATAGAAGTAGCTATGCTGCCCTTTAAACTTTTTGGAACTTTCTGGTAAACATTTTGCCATTTTAATGTTAGACTCTTATCTGTGGTCTTTTCAAACTTCTAATGTTGATTATCTATAATTTATAGTAGATTTCTAAGACATCTGTGTCCTTTGGTAGATAATCTTGTTTATAAAGCAACCACATATACATTTCTTTATTCATCCATTTATTTGTTCATATTTATAGTTTTTTTTCTTCTTTTTTTTTTAGTAAAATTAGTTTAATCTGTGTTTTACCACACATACTGGATTATGTTAGGGGTTTAGCCTATATGAGATTTTCATTCTAATTTAACAATCTTAATCCTAAGATTATATTTACTTCTTCCTGAGAACCTGAATTTAGAAACCTACTACAAAGTTTTTTAAGATAGTAACTAGAATTCAAAGGCCTAACAAAAATACATGAGGACATCTTTTGCTATAAATATAGGGTGTTCCAAAAAAAATGTACACACGTATTTTGAATAATTATAAAGGCAGTATTTATTAGAATACATTTCATTTTCAAAATTGTGCTATCAGCTGTTAAAGTGTTTACATTTTTGGGGACACCTTGTATTTATCTTTTCTGCAATGCTTAAATTAGTTCAAAAAGATTTAATGCATGAAAAATAACCATTAATACTTATTTTATTAAAGTATAAACTTTAAATGCAATGCAATTTACTTTTCATTTGTATTATATACAGAAACATATAAAATATATGTTTGAAATACATATGCTATACATATGTGTCTATCCCTATAGGACACTGACACTGTATTTAATGAGACCAGTAAAGTAATATAGCTAAAATATATATTTCCTTTATTTTAAAATTTATGATGTGAAGTCATTTTGTTTATTTTATTTTTAAAAATCAACACATATATTTCAGAGAATATCCTCACCCCAAGTGAGAATTATCCTTCATTCATTAATAAGGGGGAATTTTCTTGTACTAATTAAAAATATAAAAATTCTAAAGTAGGACTTTCTGTTTCCTTGTTTATTTTAACTATTCTGAAGAATATTTCCCATTGAAGTATTAGAATTCCTATTTATTCCTAAATTAAATGATTATTTGGTGAACACCACTAAGTGCAGGGCACCGTGCTAACAATCCTGCAGATAAGAGATTGAATTAGACTGTTCAAAGAAGCCATTACCCATAGAAAGTCTTCAGTAAAAAATGACATAGAGGATAAATACAATTTAGTCAAAGATGTAAATGTAATGCATTTTTTCAGGCATGTCATTATATTATTCTCAAGTACGAAAAGCTGTGGACAGCATTTTAAGGCACCTTGATAAAGAAGTAGGAAGGTGTATGATGCTAACTAACGTCCAGATGTTAAACAAAGAACCTGAGGACATGATCACGTGAGTACAGTGAGGACTAAGTCTCAACAAAGGGTTGATTAACCGGAGGACACCAGCCAAGATTCTTCTCATTTATTCTGTGTAGCTGACCCTTGAACAACATGGGCAATAGAGGCCCTGACTCCTGCACAGTTGAAAATCCATGGGTAACTGTTTCTCCCCCAAACTTAATTATTAATAGTCTACTCTTGATCAGATATCTTACCAATAACATAAACAATTGATTAACTCATATTTGTATGGTATATGTATTATAAACTGTATTATTCCAATAAAGGGAGCTAGGGAAAAGAACATGTTGTTAAGAAAATCATAAGGAAGGTAAAATACATTTACAGTACTGTTCATATTTATTAAAAAAAACCTGTGTGTAATTAGACCCATACAGTTGAAACCCATGTTGTTCAAGGGTCAACTGTATTTTATTCTTTCATTCTTTGAATCAGATTTTTAAGAAGTGTTAAGATTGTAAAAACATACTTTTGTAATATTTGAGTAAATCTGAAAATAAGGTCAAACCTGATATTGATCTATTTTGGTTGTATGTGAAGTAGCATTAGGCCAGTAAGTTAGAAAATGAGCCCCAGACTCATTCATTGGTTCACATTTTTCAGACATGGCATTTTGCTCCCAAGCTTGATTACAGTGCTGTACTTCCCATTTTTCAGAAGCGGTGTTTTGTTCGCAAGGTTGATCACCAGTTTACAGACATTCCATCTTTATAAATGTGAAATTCACTAGTTTCTGGTGATAGTCCTGAACTGAGAGACTTAAACCGGCTGAATAGTCTCTATTCAACCATGTCATAGAAATGCTGGATTTTAAGAAAGCATTTTTAACTTTGAATGTAGAAATGAAATGTTCTTAAGCCAAAATCTAAGATCTAGATTTAGAATCAGAGTTCTACAGAAGAAACTCATACAACTTATATTTGCTACATTTGATTAATTATGGCAGAAACTAGGGATTGGGTTTTAACTTAACTTTTTTTTAAAATCCTCACCCAAGGATATTTTTCCATTTATTTTTTTAGATAGAGTGGAAGGGAGGGAGGAGACGGAGAGAGAAGGAGAGAGAGAGAGAGAGAGAGAGAGACTTTAATGTGAGAGAGACACATCCATTGGTTGCCCCCCGCATGTGCCCCAACCAGGCCTGGGGCTCAAACCTGCAACCGAGGTATATACCCTTGACCAGGCATCAAACTCACAACCCTTCAGTCTGAACGCTGATGCTCTAACCGCTGAGAAAAACTGTCCAGGGCATTAACTTAACATTTTAACAAAGCTTCTATTTTGCTCTTGGACTGTGGATTAAATTATGTTTGGCACCTGTGGCATACATTTCCAAAAATACATAGTTAGGAAAATTTTCTTTGTCACTCAGCATATTCAGTTCCAAATACCACAGTTAAGTAGAAGGTTGCTACCTACATAGGGAAGTTTATATTTTTGGTGTGTATTTTACGAGGGTGGCATGTTGAAAACAAAGTATGACAAAATAAAACAAGAAGAGTAAAAATTACAGAATTATTTTACTAGTAAATACATATTTAGCATCATATAAAGTTAAAATGAAAGCCTCCTCCTCAGAGCTCCACTTGAAATCTGTCACCATTCCTTGGCTTGGTGTGATTCCTCCAAGACCTTTCCCTGTGTCAGCACAACTATAGATATACATTTTTTACAAAAATATGGTATATACAATGCATGCTATTGTATAATGAGATGAAGATCATATAAAGACTTTTCAACCAAAGTGACAGCAGAGTTGAAACTGACCAAGGATAATAACATTAAATATATTGTCTGTAGCTCTGGCTCTTACCTCACAATGACCAGATTGTCCATAAACCTTTAACATCATTATTACATACTTTTTGAATATATTAAAGCAATTTTAAATTTATAATATAGAAGATATATGAAATGCTTTTCAAACTTCTGGTGTAGAGTTCTTTCCTCTTTTAAAACAGTCAAGAAATGAAAGGTCTTTACAGGAAGACTTTATTAATAATCAAGATGTCACAAAATAGAGTCAGGACCGAACAATATATTCAAAACCATAAACAGGTACAGATTTAAATGTACATGTAAAATTTTCATTTGTATTTTAGCCAATACCTTAAACTTTTCCCAAGATGATTCTGTACTTTTTCCTATTGAACCATCTTGAGACCCCCAAATAGGACTAGGAATATTTTTCATGCTCGGTTCTAAGGCAGATTCCTGAGTGGACAGTAACTCTTTGCCACGTTTAGGAGAAGAGTGTTGAGGTCCACACCACGCTAATGGGAATGATTATTGGAGTTAATATTCAAGGTTGGTCCACCACTTTCCCAAGTCCTGCTTAAGGTTTGAACTTAAACACTAAGCATTCTGTGTCATGCCATTTCCATTTCCCATCCCTTTCATGGTTCATGCTAGCAGATAATAGGAATAATATATGTTAAGGAAAATTATGTTTTGGGGGGCTCACATGCTTCCTGTAGAAGCTCAGCGAGCAAGGCCTACAGTGGTAAAAGGAAATCCTACACCAATTAGAACCTCTAATCTAGGCTTGGAAGCCTGCAAGAACTAGCCTTGGACTTCAGGCTAGGCAAGGTCATCCGTTTTCTGACAGATACGAAAAGTAATCCCAACTGTTAAAATATCCAGTGAGCAAGTTAGGAGGACTATTTAAATGATTCATGGAGTTGAATATGAACAGTTGGGAGAAATCCCTGGGCTCTACCTTTGTCAGGTACTGAGGAAATTATTTGAAGGTTCTCTTTTTTAGCCAATTGAAAACCATGACACAATAGCTCCTCTCCACAGTCCTCATGCACACCATGCAGGACCATGGAAAAGGAGAGAAAATAGTCTCATGACTTTCCACAGAAGCAAAGTATTTTAGAAATCAACATAGAAGTATTTCATTTTTCACATAAACAGTTTTGTATTCATTCTTAACAAACTTACAAGAGCATGCTAGAAAGAAATGTTATCATCTTTAGAATGTAGAGAATTCTCCTTGTTGCATTTCTATTCAGACCACAGTTACTATTCCAAGAAGGAATTACTACTATGCTACTTTGCATTTTCATTATTGTATTTTGTGTCCAATAATTATATTAATTTGGTGACAATTTTATGTTTATTCTCAGAAGACTCAATCATCAGAATTTAAATATGCTGTCACTTGGGTTACTTGAAAAATTTGATGGGTAGTTAAGCTTTTCTATAAAGTTTATTTGATAAAATATCTGATTAAAAGGTAGTTATTTAAATAACTAAAAATGTAAGCAATTTATTACAGAATTTACATTTTTCTCTCAGATTTTACAATAGTGCAGAAGGCATTAATTACTTGTTGACATTTATTCTAAAGAGAGAAAAAAGAAAGAAGGAATCTTCATAGAGGTCAGGTCCATTGGAATAATTTTTAAAATCAGAAATGGGTGCAGAGCAATATGCATTGCAGTATTTTACTTGACATGATGTAAGACATTTTTGAAGCACTTCATTTTAAAAAATAGTGGGAGCTCTAGAGGAGAAGCACAACTCATGAAGAGAAGCTTCCATAAGTAATACTTTAATAAAGAAGAAAAAAATAGAGAAGCTTCCAGATGTCATGCTTGTTAGAGATAGTATTGCTTGTACAAAGCCCCATTTTTAAATTCTGAAAGTAGGAATAACTATTGTGTATTTCTTACATGCTGATGCATTTAGGAATTTCAATAAATTCAGTGTTTTTAATGCAGTCCATAGGGACCAAATCCCAATTGAATGGCAAGCTGCATGGTGGAATGCTATTGGTATCAGCATTTTTCTTTTCAGATATATAACTCTGACTAACATTTAAATGTTTATTAGTTTTCTCAGCTGGAAAAGCTGTAAAGGGCATAAACAATTGAAAATAATATGGAGCAAATAGCAGACAGTGATTCAGAAAGCATGGATTCTAGTCTTTGTTCACATAGTTGCTCAAATTTTTTAAATTTATCATAACTATTGACTATGTTTAAACTTTGTTTTCACATTCTAGGGGTGAGAGAAAGCCCAAAATAGACCTTTTCAGGACATGTGTTGCTGCTATTCCCCGGCTGCTTCCTGATGGGATGTCAAAACTTGAACTCATTGACTTGCTGGCTAGGTAGGTGGCAATGGTCGTGGACATTCTTTGATTAAATTGATTTTAATCATGATTTACCCAAAAAGAGAATGATTATTAAAAACTGACAAAGATTTACCAAATGAGGCATTATTCTAAGTACTGTGTGTAGGCAAGGAGGTATAAATAAAATTTTTGTGGCGTTCAAGAGGTTCAAGAAGTTTAAAATCCAAAGTAGAAACCAACACATAAGGTAACTAACAATCCAAGGCCTTGAACTGTGCAATTAATAGCACAAAATGTCACAAAATTCAGTGCCTGGAGGATTACTATGGCCTGGGAAAGTCGGCACATAACTCCTGGGAGAAAGTAGAGCTGGGGCTGCCCTTCGAAGGAAAGATGGAATTCAGAAAGGCAAAGGGGTTGATGTGAGCCATCATAGCGGTGGGGCTGGGATGTGAGTAGATGAGACTGACTGGGAAAAAGTTAATTCTAGGCCTGATTTCAATCTGAAGCCCACAGAAACCTCCTCCGGGGGATGGCGGAGGAAAGAAGGTGGGTAACAGGGATCCTCAGCTAATTTTAGTGCTTTAGAAAGCTGTCCCAAAGCATATATTCATCATCCTCCCCATCCCACACAAGAACCACAGTCCGACTAGAACCTAAAGTTAATTTGCTTTGAGTGAGATTGTATCATTTTTGTTAAGTAAGGTTAACTTTCTCATTGATCTCAGGTTCTTATTGACAATTATGCCTATCAATTCAAAAATCAAAAGTGACAAAATGATCTAAATGCCATTTAGAAGGTATCATCATAAGAAACACAGGGTGCATGGAGGAAAGGGAAGGGGAGAACAAAAGTTATCCTTGATTAAAAAAAAAAAGAAAAAGGAAACAAAAAGTAGTTTAGAAACTCAACAATAAAAAGAAATGACATGAGAGGTTGATTTTCAGCTCATCTTTACCTTTAGATGACACATTCAGACTGATGTAGTTTTAAATAGAAGAATAACATAACAAATTCTATTTTAGGCAGGTTAATCTGATAATGATGGAATAAAGAGTAACAAATATTAGTGCATATTGAATAAAAGTTGCATTATGTATGAATAATCTTGTTCACCCACATTCTCTAGCCTTGGAGAGCACCCTTCCATCAATACCCAAACAAAATACCCAAGCTCCAATCCCATATGACTACAGGTCACCCAGTGGCCTCCCCTGGCTTCTGGGTGTCTCCATGGAGTACGGCGTCTTCTGGCCATTGTGGCCATTGTGCTCCTGCTCTGGACAGCCATCCTGGTTTCCTCTGTTGACCACTTCCTTCTACCAGTCAATGACTTATATAGCCTACTGTTCTTCCCCATTGCTCTTCATTCCAAGTATAAACACAACCACTCCTTTCCTACATCCAGTCACCACTAGCACAAGGATGATGCTGGTTTGTGGGGTTTACTGAAGATTCATTCCTTTGGAAATCACCATTCCGGGCCGTGGTACCTCTGACCAAAGCCTACTACCCCTCCAACTAATCTGCAGGCCAGCACCACACTGCTTTCCTACACATCCTGAACAATCAGAATGGCTGGACACGTTTCTCATTTAATTCCCAGTCTTCTGTTTCTTATTAGTTACTAGTTGTTGTTTTCCTGTTTCCTGCTTTACAATAGTAAATTTTATGTTTGTCACAAGATGATCTGTGATTTTCTGGTTAAAATCTAATAAAAGTAAAAGTGAGAAAGATCTGGGTGGATGAAATAGCAAGTATATCTGATTGGCAGCTGTCCATTCATATTCTTCAAGGAACAAACACAGGGACCCATGTAACCCTTCTCCCAGCTTTGTCCTCTTCTCCCTTACCTGCTGCAACCCAGACTTGTCTTGATACATTCTTTTCATTCAGTCTCAGTTCCATGACAGTCTGGACCTTTTTCCTCTTCAAAACTCCACTTTTATCTTCTATTGGGTCTTCTGTTCCTAAAGCTCCTTCTCCCCAGCCCCCACCTCAGTCCTAGCTCTTTATACTCCAGTGATATTTTTGAGCATTTACACTGGTCAAATGTGAGCGCCATCATTTCCAGAGGAGTGCCTCTCCCCCCCCCACCCCCAAATATGAAGAGCTGTTCAACCTTGGGACTCTCACAGTCCTTAAAATGGTCCCGCATTGTGGTTTTAAAGATAAAACAGATGCTAGATTGGAAATTATGAATGAGAGCAAAGTTAAATGAAAAATAGAATTAATCTCATTTAGAAAGCTGAGAGCATTGGCCCTTACTTAAAAGCTTCATCTAAATAGACTGTGACATGGCCTTTAGTTTGATTCTAAAGACAGATGCTGTCCTGGCTTCATGACTATATTGGTTTGCTCAGGTTGCCATAATAAAGTACCACAAACCAGGTGCCTTAAACACAGAAATCTGTTGTCTCACAGTTCTGGAGGCTAGATGTACAACATCAAAGAGCCAGTAGGGTTGGTTCCTTCTGAGGTCTCTGAGAAAGAATCTGGTTCCGGCCTCTCTCCTGGCTTCTGGCATTTTCTGGCCGCCTTTGGTATTCCTTGGCAAAGAAGCATCACCCCAGTCTCTGTCTCCATCTTCACAGGACGGTCTCCCTGTGTGCATATCTGTTTCCACATTTCCCCTTTTTATGAGGTCACCATGGATCAGGGTTCACCTTGCTCCAGCATGGCCCTGGTTCCATAATGTCTCATTCCGAGGTCCTGGTGGTTTGAATTTCAGCCATGAATTCGGGGAACACACAATTCAATCCATAACAGTGGCCATTGTCATTAGTTAACATTTACTGAGTGCCTGTTGTCCCTGTCTTAAAAAGGTGGCTTGTCACCTGCAGAAGCTTATTCTCTATTCTCTGTATAGGCAGGTAAAATGCAGTAAACACGAGTAATAACCGTAAGATGGGGAAATCATTTCAAGCATTTTTCATAAACTAGTGTTTTCGCACTCTGGGCTGCAAAGATGGCTTAAAGCTGCTTGTACAGTAAAGGAATCTTTTTTCCCAAATGCGTGGACTTCAAGGGTGAGGGGACTCCCTTTACTTCAGCCTTAACCAGAGCAGCTCAGATTTATGTATTATATATTAGAGTTCTACATAAAAGAATTCATAGAGGTGCTGATTGAGATACAAAGTTTGTAAATTCCTATCTCAGACAGTTCTTAATTGGAAGCCAGGCTTTAAAAGGGGTCTCAGTTTTCTTTCAGCAGCTGTAATCTCCTTAAAACTGTGGACTTAAGCCCTAACCGGTTTGGCTCAGTGAATAGAGCGTCGGCCTGCGGACTCAAGGGTCCCAGGTTCGATTCCGGTCAAGGGCATGTACCTTGGTTGCGTGCACATCCCCAGTAGGGAGTGTGCAGGAGGCAGCTGATCGATGTTTCTCTCTCATCGATGTTTCTAACTCTCTATCCCTCTCCCTTCCTCT